CACTGAAAAAGTCAAAGATGAACCGAAAGCTGAAGAAGCAAAGAAGGAACAGAAGGCTGAAGGAGATTCTGGAGTGAGCTGCTATTATTGTGGAGGAAAGAACCACTATGCAAAAGATTGCGTCCTCAAAAAGATGGCAGAAAAGAATGAAGAAAATGATGAAGAAGCTGTGTTGATGAAAAAGCTTGATGAGTTAAGGAAGAAGAAATCTGCTGCTAACCCTTCCATGAATGCTTTAATTGTGTAGGGCTCGGTAGTTGATGATGAGTTCGGTGGCGTGGAGGTTTGGTCAACCGACTCTGAAGATGATGAAGTGAGGAAGCCTTCACATGGAATGGCCTATGTAGCGAAAGAAGAGAGCAGTGGAGGAAAATGCTTGATGGTGTCTGACGTTTCGCAGATGAGAGGATACAACACAAATGGTGGGAATGATGACAAAGAACAACAGAATCTATGCTTTACCGCCAAACCACTCAGTGAGCAGTTCAATGAACTTGATGAACTGATCAAGAAGGTACAATAAGTTTTTGTCTCATTTAAAGTCCCACAATGCTCATATGAAAAGGAATTAAAAAGTGTTAATTCAAGAATCTCTCATCTAGATAGTAGCTTAACTCAAACTCGGGTCACCAACTCTAACCTAACTGATCAATTAAGCAGGGTGTCTTCGAAGAGTGAGGAACGACAGATGTGGATCGAACTGAAGGAGTTAGAGTTAATCAAAATAAAAGATGAAAACATCTATTTGCAAAGAGATAATTTAAAGCTTTTGAAACAGCGAAATGTTTTTTGTCTGATTGCCAAACGTCTTTATACTAATATTACTCAGCTTCATTTAAATTGCGAAATAGGGCAAAAGATTCATCGCATGATTTTACCCTTTCTTGAGTTTAAGGAAGATGAAATTGATGCTGATGCATTAATTGTGAGAGTATTATTTCGTCTGAGGATGTTAATCCAACATATTTATATGGACTGGACAAAATTGAATCTTTCATAAAATCCAAGGACCACAAGAATATGCTCAAAAATCTTTTGGATGAAAATGATAAACTGAAGCTTAGAACCGAAACTATACAAAAATTTGACTCACTGAATGTCAACTTAAGCTCGGAAAATAAAATTGATGTTGAAAATGCATCTGAGCTTAATGAGGACGATAACATGAGTGAAATTTCTGTAGAAGACACAGTTGATTGCTCAGAATTTGTCAAAAATGAACCGAGAACCACAAAAATCTCATCTCAGAAAATTCTGTGGAATTCGCTCGGTTGTCCCAACAACAGTCCCCGATTCTTGTAGAGAAGGCAGTTGTATACCAAAAAGTTAGGACCACTCCGAATCAGGTATACAAAGTCACTGGTGTAACCGAACATCAGACTGCTGAACTAGCTATTGTGAACGAAGACAATGCTGATGGGTGTGATGAGTTCTTCTGGTCGGCTCCCATTGACAATGCTGATGAAACGGTAGGTCTGTCTGAAAGGACTTCATGGAAAAGCAAAGGCAGATACGTTCCAGAACCTTTAAATAAACCTGATTGCTTTAACGTGGCAAGTACCAGTGGAACGAAAGATGTTCCTCAAGAGAAAGAAATTCCTGCAAAAGAAGTCAAATCTCCAAGCAAAGCAACATCGGATCAGAGTGGTTCAACTAATGAACATAAAGCTAACGTCCATCATCGACCAAAGCAGATGAGAAGTCAAAAACGGGAAAGGAATCAGAGATACAGGAAAAATCTCTCCGAAAGAAAACAGTTTTGGCGATCGCAAAATGCCTATTTCTCACATCAAGACAGGAATTTAAAACCAGCGAAAAATCCTGATGGATCGACGGAGAGCAACAATAACCGAACGCAGAGTCTCGGTTCTGAGCAGAACAACAACCAAAAGCAGATGTTCGGCTCAGAGCACAACAACAACCGAACATATAGATTCGGTTCAGAGAATGATTTCAACCGAAAGCACAGGTTCGGTTCGGGAATTAAAAGAGGTCAAAACTCTAAAGTTGGTCCTTCCGTTAATCAAAAGCAAAAGAGTCACCCAATCTTCAATCAAGAAGTCATACCGTTCTAAGTCATCTCATTCTAACACTTCTAATTCCTCACAATCCTCTGTCTCTTCTCGTCCTCAAGTCCACTCTGTTTCTTCTCAAAAATCTCAGTCTTCAGCTGATCAAAAATGGAAACAGAAGGTTTCAAATACTGAATCAAAATCAATACTGAAACCATCAAATCCAAATAAAATCAAAGTTTACACCATCAAAAGAAAAGATAATACAACACTAATTAAAAGAACATATGTTGTTGACATCTCTCTTACTATTCCCGCAAACAACTCACGAGGACCCAAAAAGCTCTGGGTTCCTAAATCTGCTTAATTTTTGCAGGTTATTAGTGACGAGCAGTATGACGAAGAATGGTACATTGATAGTGGCTGCTCGCGTCACATGACAGGGAGGAAGGAAGAACTTAGGGAATTCAGATCTCTTTCCAATGGTGGTAATGTCAAATTTGGGAACAATTCCTTCGGAACAATCAAAGGCTACGGGATGATTACAAACGGTGATTTCTCAATTAGGAAAGTTGCATATGTAGAGGGATTACAACACAATCTCATCAGTGTATCTCAGCTTGTTGGAGGTACTGGTCTCAAAGTCTCATTCGATGATGAAGGTTCGGAAATTATTGAGAAGAAGACGAACAAAGTTATTCTCCAATCAGAGCGCAAAGGTGAAATGTTTCCCCTAAATCTCAAACCAATCAAAGGAAACCCACCATCTGTCTGTTATCCAAGGCACCATCTGACGAAAGCTGGCTGTGGCACAGAAGACTCTCTCATCTCAACTTCAAAGATATCAACAAACTTGTCACTGGAAGTCATGTGAGGGGTCTCCCATTGCTCAAATATGACAAAGATCATCTGTGTGCTGCATGTGAAATGGGAAAGCAGAGTCGTCAAAGTCATCCATCCATAATAAACACTAAAGTCGTTGAACCACTGGAATTACTTCATATTGACTTATGTGGTCCATCTTCTGTAGAAAGCATTGGTGGTAGCAAGTATATTCTTGTTATTGTTGATGACTTTTCACGTTTTACATGGGTGTTCTTTCTGAAGCTTAAATCTGAAGCGACTCACAAGCTAAAAGTGTTCATCAAGCAGATTGAAGTACAGCTGAAGAAGGTCGTTCGCAACATCAGAAGTGACAATGGGTTGGAGTTCAAAAATAAAGAATTTGAAGAATTCCTGGAAGAAAAAGGGATCAGTCACAACTTCTCAGCTCCTTACACACCTCAACAACGGAATTGTTGAAAGACGAAACCGATCCTTATGTCTGCTGCTATGTTTTGCTTCCTTACCTTTATATTTTTGGGCTGATGCTATTTCTGCTGCTTGTTTTACACAGAACAGGTCGTATCTTAACAAACGCTTCACTCTCACTCCTTATGAGATCATCAATAACAGGAAGCCAAATGTGAAGTTTTTCCATGTGTTCGGTTCCAGATGCTTCATTTTCAATTCCAAAGAACACCGCAACAAGTTTGATGTCAAAGCTGACGAAGGGATATTTCTGGGTTATTCTCTTTCTTCCAAAGCATACAGAGTGTTAAATAAGCGCTCAAAGAAGATCGAAGAAACTTACTACGTGACTTTTGATGATAGCTATGTTAAGAAGCTACAGGCCAACGAAGACACAGCTGGAGAAATCTTTCCTCAAACTGGCCAAGTCACAGCCTCGGTCGCCAATCTATTCGAGAAATTCATGGAGCTTTTTGATGAACCAGAGAAGGCCACTCTTTCTGAAGCCAGTGCAGCAGACAACAGGGTAGATAACTTGAAGCAACTTATTGACGATGCTGCAAGAAGACTGAATGAAGAAGAATCGAGTTCACAAGACCCTCCTCAACACAATGCATCAGTAGAGGGGGAGGATCCACCTGCATTCCAGTCAAGTTCACAAGTTGAGGGGAGCTAAGGTCTCACCTCCAACAGAGAGTGCTTCACCAACCGAGAGTGCTTCACCAACCGAGAGTGCTTCACCAACAGAGAGTGCTTCACCAACAGAGAGTGCTTCACCAACCGAGAGTGCTTCACCAACCGAGAGTGTCTCACCAACCGAAAGTGTCTCACCAAACGACAGAGCCTCTCCAACCGTAGGTTCATCAACACCCGAAAGATCATCACCTCAGGAAACCCCTATAGCTCAAGATTCACAAGACATTCCTGCAAGATCACATGTCGAGGGGGAGCATGCTGATATGTCATACGACTTTGACAGTCTGTCCGAACCAGAAGAAATGATAAATGCTGAATTGGATCCATCCTTTGATCCAAGCTTCCCTCCTCTCACCAAATGGACCAGAAATCATCCTATTTCTCAAGTTGTCGGTGATATCTCAGAAACAGTTCTGACCCGCACTACTAGAAAAACAGCCTTTTACGACGCTCATTGCGCATCGTAAAAGGCTCAGACGATGCGCAAATGCTCGTCAAGGAAGGCCCTGTCATAAAGAAAGACGACGCGCTTTTGCGCGTCGTCTATAGATGACGCGCATTTACGATGCTCATTTACGACGCGCTTTTACGACACGCATTGCGTATCAAGGAAGGCCATGTCATAAAGGAAGACGACATGCATTCGTGTGTCGTAACCTTACGACGCGCGTGTTAATGACACACAATGCGTATCAAGAAAGCCATTGTCAAGAAAGGCCATGTCATAAATGAAGATGACACACATTTTTGCGTATCATAATTTTAAATGTTGAAAAAAACTATCATAATTTATAGATTTACTAATTTTCAAATTAAATTTGCATTTCATGTATCATAATAGAAAATAAAATACCATTTACAAAAAATACAATCCATTGCACAAAAGTTAATGTCATACAAAATACAAAATAAAATACAATAAATAAGAAAGATAATTCATTGGACTAACATGTCAAATACAAATAATCATCCCTAATTATATAACCTAATATTGCATTGCTATTAAGGGACATCATCATAACTCACTGAAGGTCTTGGAACAATGTTCTCGTCATCAACTTGTATATCTGCCAAAAACTTGAAAAACAACAAATATTTAATGTTTATATATATAACAAGAACATATTGAATGCATAAAAGGTAGCCAAGTTCGGTTTCACCCTATTCATCACAGTAGGCAGCCAATAAGCATGATAGCATTAGAAAAGAAATAACCCCCAAAAACAGCCTAATATATATTTATTAGAATGTGTTAAGAGCAACAAGTTACCTTTATAAACAGGTCATAAGCAATAGCCCTTCCAATATCTCAGACTTTCTCAAAAGTATTGTGAGGCTCATTATATGAATGATACTAACAAAGTACAAACAACTAACACATTAATGTTTAGTGTACTTTTAGTTAAAAAAAAAAAGAAAAAAAGATAAATAATATCATTTATATCTGACATCCTAGAGGGAGGTAGAAGATAATGTACTTCCTTTTCTAATCTTTCTACAATTAATTAAAACATGAAGCATTTATAAATTAATATTATATTAAAAATTAAAAACATTTATATTTATAAATTAATTTATACCTGGTAACACTGGTAAACATGCAGTGCCTCCAGCCAACACAACTGTCTTGAACCAAGTATGATCGGTTCTCATTTTGGCAACATAGCAACGCTTAGTGCAATCTGCCACTGCCTCATGTAGACCCGTTGTATTTCTAAGACCAAAAAGGTAAAATTGGAAATTATATAAAAATAATTCAAGGGCATAAGTTTATAGATATTAAAGTGGATAAAAGATTACCTCTTTCAATGAGCGAACAGTGTATAATGAAGAAACATGTAGATCTCTTAGACGAAGTTGCTCTTTAAGGTATTCAGTAAGCTTTAAGCCTCCAACACCTATAGATACAACACCCACTTTATGCACCACTTTACCATGTAAAACTGGAAATGACACAAATGGAATCAGAGTTAGGTAATTTACTTTTGGCTTTATAAAGTTTTATAAATCTTGTGATTATTTTGGGTTTGAATGAATAACACACTTTTGGATACTTGGATTGCAATCCTGTTGTATAGAAAGTGTAGATCACTCCTTCACATTTTGCAGAACTGGTACACTTAGTTGATAGTGACTCATTTGTTGAATCTGTTCATAATCCAATCTTCTAACAATAACAAGAACAAAAAGATCACAAATTCTTTAGCTTTTCTGATAGATCACCACTAGGCATCACCAAATGTAAGATGTGAAAAAGGATACGATAAGTTGAAAGAAGCTGATCATCTTTTAGAACTTTGCCACGATAGATTAAACGTTGCTGTTCAGACAATACAGCAGTAACAGAAGCAATATGTTCTTTAGTGCAGGAACAGGTACCTATAAGAACATATACAAAGTAAGAAAAATAGAAACAAGGTAGAAACTTTGAGAAAAACACAAACAAGTTCTAACGCTTCATCATCCATTCCATTCTAGACAAAGGACGAAATCATGGTGTTCCATGAAACGATATCTTTTTCATTCATATTTTTAAAGATATTTAAGCTTCCTTGAATGGAATTACACCTGATTAGAGTCACCCCCTTGACGAAAAGCAAAAAAAGACTAATGATGTAAGCATAGGTGTAGGATTGCATATACCTGATATGACTCAACCCAATGGTCCACGTGTCCCCTATAGTTCTGTAACACTAATGATATAAGCATAGGTGCAGGTTCTGTGTTTTCATATTGCATGTTTTTTTTCACTCATTACCTAATACAAAAGAGAAAGAAGTCATTGAAAAAAAAATTACAAGTATGGAAGTAATACATATATAGGTTCTTAAGTGTCAAGGATTACAGAAGATATTTTTTTTAACGCATCACAGTGTTTTTTTTATTTTCTTAAGGAAAGATAATATATATATATATATATATTATATATATATATATATATATATATATTATTTAAGGAAAAATTACAAGTATGGACATTCCTTAGACGAGCACTTGCACTTGTCATGGTCGTTGTTTCTATCTGAGCAACATGAATAGATCCACCAATTTCTTCAGGCAGAGTGAGTGGACCCCCTTTTTCAGCTATTTTTTCACAATAACTCACCAATGTGGGGTTCATCTGTGATAGCATCTCATGCACCTGTAACCCCAAAAACACTTGAATCACACCAAAACTTTGATCTTTTGTATGTGCAGAGGACATAATTGCCCTTGTCATATGGATTAGTCTTATAAAGCTTTGTAAGTAAAAGAAAATGGGCCACCTATAAAGAGATGAGACATAATTGATCAATGTTTATCCACCTGTAAAGAGATGAGATTAATTATTATTGTAAGAAATAAATAAAAAATCAATAGTGTTTCTTACATGTGACACTCACGAGTTCATTGTATTGGTGATCTTAGACTTTTCTTCTGACTTCATTGTTGCAAAACACATGCAAAAATACTTTCATTAGTTCCAATAGTAAATTAAATCAACAAGACAACGTAAATATCATAGAATTTTATTATCATTAAGGTATTGTTATAATCTGAATTAATCCAGAAATCATTAAGAAAAAATCACTTATTACCACTAACCTCAATTAATCCAGAAATCATTAAGAACAAATCGCTTTAACGAGCACAAAATTGACAAAAAGATGAAAGTTAATAGTCAATAGCACAAAATATTAAATTTAAAAAAAAGCCAATGTATTAGGGTGAGCATATAGTGCATATAAAGGTAGCAACTCACACTAAACATAGTCTTAACATTTTAGATGATCGAATATAGATATCAGAGTTGAAAATAATTAATAGCACCAAAAAAGTCTTGTAAGCCTCACATACCTTTCTGATGTTCTTCTTATGATATTCATATTTATACAGTTTTCTCTCTATCACTACAGCAATAGCAGTTTATACCTGTGTGGAGTTAGTGTATATTAAATGTAATTTACTTAGAAATGAAGTTGCCAAACTTCCTTCAATATCATCAATCTCCTCAACGTAAATACACACACACAAAGATCAAGATGATGAAAAACAAAAAAAAATAGAAAATGAAAACACAAGAACACTATTTTACCTCATATACACCAGCTGGTATTACAGCTATCATGGCTGAAGATGTCATATACTATTTGTTATGTAGAGTATTGAAGTTAGGAAAAAGGGGGTTTGAGACGTTTGACATAAAGAAAAAAAAAGATATATATATATATATTATATATATATATATATATATATATATATATATATATATATATATATGGTACGAAGCTGCATACTTCGAAAGAGGTGATTTCAAGGCTTCCTCGAAACATGAACTCATAAACAAGCAATATGTGGTCATCTTCACAGCAATACCCAATTAATTTCACCAAATTGGGATGTCTGAGCTGAACAAGGAAATTAACTCCAGTCTACAACACAAAACGCCATTACAGATATGGATTAATGGTATAAGGAAGATAAAACAAAACAAAGAATTAGTTGCTGCATTGACAGAGAACTAGAGGAGCATACAAGCCATTATTTGTGACCTTGAAGACCCTCCTTGTTGAGAACCTTAACAGCAAGAGGAAGAGATTTGAGACCAACCCGAACATTCTCATCAATATAGCCCTTGTAAACAGTCCCAAAAGAAACAGCCCTTAAGTCAAAAAGAAATGGCACCTGTTATAATCTTGATCTTTTTAAACAAGTTGTAATGATCGAATAACATAAATAATGGGAGCCTAGAACCATGAAAACCTTCAAGAAACCAATCCCACATAAAAATCCCTATCAGAAAATGTAAAATTTTACAAAAAAACGTAAATATTTCAATAATCTCCAAAATTGTATTCCTTAAAACTATATAGGTTAAACTTGCATTTAGCTACCATAGGATGTGTTGAATCAAGAATAACATACATTCATAAACATAACCATATGAAGGAGGTGATAGAGGACGGACAAGCTAGGGCAAATAAGAGTGGAGCAGGGCGGTGAAGCAGTAGTGTAGGCCACGAACCACAAATGAGGCACGATTCTGTCTCCCAAAATTCTGACTTGATAAACTGTGGGATAGACAACGAGATTTTTTGATTTTTGGGAATGAATCAGAGCAGGTATCCTTAGAGGATTTGAGTTTAGGTGACCGACGTTTGTCTCGAGGAAGGGAGAAGAATCGGTAAGTGCCAAAGGGATATAGGAATGAGAAAGAATGGGAAATCTAGATATCGCTTTTCCAGTTAGGGTTTTATAGAGGAGAATACAAGAAGAATCAAAATCGAAATCAGAGGCATGAATAAAGGAGAAAGAAGAGCAATTTTTACAATACAGAGGAGTGCACCTTACCAAATAATCCTTCGATTGACTGCAATTTGGAGTCAAATCGATATCGATTCAGCTAGATAATACCAATTTCAATTTCAATTTCATCTACTCCAAGTCTTTGTGGCCTATAAAACACGGTGTGTGGCTGATGATGGACAACCTACGAGCTGCTGGTTTGTACCCAACGCTTTACCAGCAATACCTTCTCCCGATACGAGCTGCTGGGTTGAGGTCGCCTCAAAGAACCCTAAAATCTCTGGATCGAACACATACGAAGCGGATTCAATCACATAAATGGGCCCGGATCTTCCTTCAAGAGGGTTCAAATCTGTTTCCTCTGGGGAAACGATTGGATCAAATCTGTTTCCTTTGGGGAAACGACTGGAAACCATATACAGATTAGGGTTTACAGAGAAAATGAGAAGGAGAGATTGAAGGTTTTCGGCTGGTGGCGTGCTTTCCTTGATCGACGTCGATGATCGGGAATGGCAAGTAACGATGGTCGAAGTGTGAGGGAAGAAGTAGGTGGCAGTCAATGTCGGCAGGGGGAAGGAAGGAGCGTGATAATTAGGGCAAGAGGGAAAGGAACAAAAAGGAAGGCGGGGATTTTAATTTTTTAGGATTTCATTTTCCCCCTCAGCTACTAAAGGATGGAAGGCGCGTTTCCATTAAAATTTATAAAGCGACATTCTCAGACGGCACACGTTTTATTATAGGCGCCCTCCGTGTTTTTTTTAGACACTAATTTAAGGGTACGCAAAAATGCGCGCCCTAAATCCTTAAAATTTATAGAGAGATGACATTATTTTTAGATCACACTCGTTTGCGTATCGTGAATCAATGCGTATCATAAATTGCGCGTCGTAAAAGGTTGTTTTTCTAGTAGTGCCGATCACAACTCAAGGAAAAACAAGCATCCTTGTACTCAAAAGTCGAATTCTGCATGTTTAACTCATTCGTTTTCAAAGTTGAACCAAAGACAATTAAAACTGCTCTTGATCACTCTGATTGGGTTCAAGCAATGCAAGATGAACTGAATGAATTTGAAAGGAACAAGATCTGATGTCTTATTCTAACTCCTCCTCATGCCTCGGTTGTTGGTCTCAAATGGGTCTTTAGGAACAAACTCGACAAGGAAGGGAATGTTATCAGAAACAAAGCTCGTCTGGTCGTCAAAGGATACTGTCAGGAGGAAGGCATTGACTATGAAGAGACTTTCGCTCCAGTAGCTAGGCTGGAATCAGTGAGAATATTTCTTGCTTATGCTGCTCACAAAAACTTTGAGGTCTTTCAAATGGATGTCAAGTGTGCCTTTCTCAATGGAGATCTCGAAGAGACTGTGTATGTGGAGCAACCTCCTGGATTCGTGAATGAAAAGCATCCCAATCACTGTTACATATTGGATAAAGTCATGTATGGTATGAAACAAGCACCGAGGGCCTGGTATGAAACACTGACTAAATTTTTAAAGATGTCCAAATTCAAACAAGGTTCGGTTGACCCAACCTTCTTTCGCAAAAAGGAAGGTAACCACCTTATGATAGTTCAAATTTACGTCGATGATATCATCTTCGGCTCCACGAATCCAAGCCTAACAGCTGAATTCAGAAAGCTGATGGAGACTAAATTTGAAATGAGCTCAATGGGTCCCATTAACTTTTTCCTTGGTTTAAATATCAGACAGGGACCTGAAGGCATCTTTATCAACCAGGAAGCTTACACCAAGAATCTCTTAGCAAAATTTGGCATGATGGGAGATTCAAAAGTCAAAGTCCCAATGGCATTCGGCACTAAGCTCACTCCATCCCTGGACAAACCAGCTATTGATCTTACACTTTATCGTCAAATGATAGGCTCTCTAATGTATCTTACTGCTAGCAGACCTGACATAATGTTTTCCGTTTGTTACTGTGCTCGATTTCAGGCAAATCCAAGGGAACCTCATATGCTTGCAGTGAAAAACGTATTCCGATATCTCAAGCGAACTACCTCTTTAGGTCAGTGGTACCCTTCTAATTCAGGCTTCTTCGTTCAAGCCTACTCAGATGCAGACCTTGGTGGATGTGGTCTCGACAGGAAAAACACCACTGACGGTTGCCAATTCCTCGATGGGAAGTTGGTTAGCTGGCAGTCAAAGAAACAAACCTGCGTGTCACTGTCTACTGCTGAAGCTGAATACATTGTTGCTGCTTCGAGACTATGGACTCAATATGAAAAAGATCCCACTATATTGTGACTCTGAAAGTGAAATTAGGATCTGTCATAACCCAGTGCAGCATTCCAAGACCAAGCACATCGCACTGAGGTATCACTTCATCAAAGATGACGTGGAAGACGGAAACGTTGAAGTACACTTTGTTAGAACCACTGATCAATTGGCCGATGTCTTTACCAAAGCTCTTCCTGAAACGACTTTCAATAAAATTCTACAAGGCTTGGGTATGATGGTTGGAGAGTCGGTCCCAAATCCTCAAATCTCCATCTAAGAATCAAGAACCGAAAGAGACAGACCGCTTGGTTGCTCTCTCTGGTGATTTAAAGGAACCGAAGCAAACAGACCGCTCGGTTGCTCTGCTCTGGTGATTTAAAGGAACCGAAGCAAACAGACCGCTCGGTTGCTCTCTGCTCTGGTGATTTAAAGGAACCGAAGCAAACAGACCGCTCGGTCTCTCTCTGTTCTGGAGATTTAAAGGAACCGAAGCAACCAGACCGCTCGGTCTCTCTCTGTCCTGGAGATTTAAAGGAACCAACGCAAACAGACCGCTCGGTCTCTCTCTGCTCTAATGATTTACTGAACCGAACTAGACAGACCGCTCGGTTCCTCTCGGTTCTGAAATTGTCACCGAAATACACAGATCGCTCGGTCTATCTCTGCTTCCTCATTTTTTTTTATGTTGTACAATTTTATCTTTCTGTTTTATTTATTTTTCCGAAAATTCCAAAATTCCAAAAACATTTTATCTTTCTGTTTTATTTATTTTTCAGAAAATTCCAAAATTCCAAAAACATTTTATCTTTCTGTTTTTATTTATTTTTCAGAAAATCCCAAAATTCCAAAAACATTTTATCTTTCTGTTTTTATTTATTTTTCAGAAAAATCCCAAAATTACAAAAACATTTTGTCTTTCTGTTTTTTTTTTATTTATTTTTCAGAAAAATCCCAAAATTATAAAAACATTTTATTCTTTTGTTTTATTCAGGTTTCTTACTTACTTTCACTACTTGCAAGCCCTGGTCGGTGTACGTTTTTGCATAGGTGAATACAAGCATCTCCTTCTGTAGCGTTTACCCAGGTATGTTTTATCTTTATCAGACTAGTTAGACGTCCCTAGAAGCATGCTGTTGTATGTTGTCGCAAGCCTCTATGACCTCGAGCAGGCCTTAATGATTCGATCAATACCTATCGTTTCTTCCCAATCAGGCTATTCTCTCACACTCGGTCTAGAGCTACCTTACTCTACTCATTTGAAACATGAGTTGCTCTGCTTTGTCCCTATTCTGTAGCAGAAGGTACGTTCGGTCTCTTAACCATCTCCTCAACTTCTTCATTTACCTTCGATTCCCCAAAGTAACCCTTGATGCTTTCGGTCTTTACCACTGAGGCTTATGGTTATACAACCTCTGTGTTTATGATCTTGGATTCGATTACCACGTTCTAAGTGAAACCCAAAATCCAATACCTGAAATGAATTGACGGTGAGTGATAAACTCAAGCTATTACTTGGAAATCTCATTTTCTTTTTGTGTGATCTTTTATGAAATTGTCTCCACCTAAGACATTTCTTCCCAAAGAGGTCCAGTTTATTTTTCTTTGAGATTTCTGTCTATCCCATTCTTGTCACGCGATAATTCCCACCTACCTGTTCAACAGATCACATCGGTCTCACAGGTATCTCTACCAACACTCAGTTTTATGTTAAGACTTGATGTTCGGTTAGAGGTCAGCCACCCTTCAGCCCATGATCAAAAGATGCCTTTCATTGTTTATTAAAAGACAACTGATCGTATTTCTCGGGAAACCACACAAGCACTTCAAGTCTCTCTTGGCTTTGAAGGAAGCGATTCTTGCCCGGAATCTTCCGCTTTCTGTCTTCTTAATAGACAACACTCACATCCCAAACACCTTTGATTTATTTCTTTATCTTTCACACTCTTATGCACGAAAATTAATTTTTTCCAACATTCTGATTGTTGTTTGGTATGTGGTTTTAAGTTTCAGTTGTAACCAAACAAGGGCACAAGGAATTTCAAACGGTACAAAAATGATTTGGGCGCGTGCGATTGATTCGTTTCACACCCACGTGTGCTGACGTATTCCTGGGATACACCATAACTTCCAATCGCGCTTTTTCAGGCGACGTTTTGGTTTCCTCATCATCACGATTTTCTCTCTCCAGTGAACGGTATAAATAAGGGGTGATCGTGTTCTTTGGCATTTACCTCCCACGAATTCTCTCTCTGAAAAGTTTCCACTGTTCATCTTCTTCCACAACTCAACAATGGCGACTTCTTCTTCTGCACAAGATCAAACTGCATCTTCGTCTTTGCTCTCAATCAAACCTAATCAAAATTTGATTATAGAGATGACCCCATTCTTATATGATTCATACATGCTACACGTGGTGGAATGCCTAAAATATTCCCCATTGTTGTTGGCACTCACGCAGGTGGAGGCGTTCCATGTCCCTGCTCTCTCAAGTCTACACAACGGCCAACTACGACAAACACAAAGATCGCATCTTCTTCACCATTCACGACAAGAAAACCTCTGTGTCCAAAACAAGGTTTTGCTCTCTTCTAGGGCTTGCCGTCGACTCTTCCGTCATCTCACCGGATTTTATCACCACTACTCAACTCTTTTCAATGATGTACGAAATGGGGTATACGGATGTTCTTACTACTATTGCCAAAGTCAAGAAATCCTGTCTTCCGTCTCAGTGGAACGGATTGCTTACCCTTCTGATTAAGGGTTTAGCGGAGAGGTGTGGTGGTTCTGACACCACGAGTAAAGGGTTTCTCACCATCCTGTATGGTCTTTACAACGGCATCAATCTAGATTATGGCTCCATAATCTGGTCTCAAGTCGTTCAGAGTCTCAACACCACTACACGGTACTCCGAGATATCATGCGGCCGTTTCTGGACGCTTATTACCAAAAGGGCCATGGATTCCCTTGAAATCCCGGTGATGAAGGATGCTCTTATGGCTTCAATTGCCTCTTACCACACCAAGAAGATCATCGTCTCTGATCCAAGTAAGTTTCTCCATTATGGATTGATCCCTGAATCCATGTATAGGTGTGTCACGCCTCACAGCAAAATCATGGCTGACTATAGCACCAGAACACCCTTGCCTCCAAGGGTTCTGTCCGATGAACAAAGAGCTGCTCTCG